AAGGGTCTCCCAAAGTTAAGCTTATATTGTGTAAGCAAGTAACCAGGTATTTGATAAGAAGCTTTTCTAGAAAAACAAAAAGAAAAGCAAGGTTAATGATTGGAACAAACTATAAACTAAATTTTGAGTCCAGGGGACAGTCAGTTGAGAAGATCTCTAGATGTCTATGTTGAAGAATCCCCTGCAGTTCAAAATGTCTCTGATGACATCATCAGGCATTCAGGTAAACCTTTTAAGTGGCTTACGCAGCAACAGGTATGAAGATTGTCCAAACATGGACTATCATGGTGCTGTCTTAAGTTTACTTCCAGTTTTCCAATTTCATTGTGCAAAGCTTCAGGAAAAAGAGTGGTCTCAGTTCTCAATGATTCCAGATTAAAAGGAAGGAAAAAAAATGAAAATATTAATTTGGAGATCTGTAACAAGTATTTAAGGAAACTAGAAGGATTCAGGATCCAGTGCAGTTTACAGATAGAAAAGAAAAACATCAAAGACAAATAATAGAACCAAAATCCAACATCCACAAATGTGTACTATAGTTTCTATTCAAACATAATTTTTCTCTCTAAATCACTCTCATTTTTACCACAGAAAGAATAGCAACTGTCATATAGGCTCTTTTAAATCTGCTTTGCTGGACCTTTTTATAAGGAATCTCAAGATTGAATTTTAAAGGCCTCTTGAGGCCAGGAAAGCCAAGCCAAGGACTTGTCGTCAGACTCTGTCTGCAATACCTACAGATTTGGGTGAATTCCTTTCCTCTCTTGAGGTTCCCCAAAATATCCTGAGGCTCCTTGTACCTCCTAGGGAAGAGATCTTCTTTACTCATCTGGTAAGGTGTTGGAAACACTGTAAGCAAGGTACCAGTCCAATATTTCCAAGTGACTTTATTTCATAAAGTTAACCTTTGTTTCTCAAAAGCTGTATGGTCATGTCTGAGTTGACGTATGTTTTTCTCAAATATAACAGTCCAGTCAAAGCCTTGGTAATATAACCAGTATTTCCAATTGTAGCCTTTTATAAGAACAGATTCTTACTGAACTTATGCAAACATCTATATTGCTATTAAGAATACTCACTCATCAAGAGTTTCTAAATTCTGGAAAAAGATAAATGCCTTAGTTCTGCTTACAAATTGCTATAAGTCATAGTTCCTTAAGAAAAAAGAGAAAAATTTTCCTTAAATCAGGAAAAACAAAACATTTTTTAAAATCAGCAATATTTCAAACTAAAAGTCATAAAAATTATAATTATCCTTATCAGTTTATTTACTCCTATTATATCAACTCTTCATCTTCTATTAGCAGTTTCATGAGACCATCAGTTTCTCCATTACAGTTCTTTAATTTCTTGTCTAACTCAGTTTCATATTCTGAAAGTTTATCAGAAACTTGTATCCTAGAGCAAGTGTCAGAGTCCTTTTCATGAATCTCTCCAAAGATGAAACACATCTGCTAAAATATCAGAATAAAACAACAGCTCTCTGCAAATAACAAAGCATTAAAAAATGGCAATTGACAAAGATGTGACATATAACACTTTGAGATAATAGCCAGAATTATCACTGATAAACAGGACAGATCAGAATTTTAGGAATGTTATATAATTTTTCTTAAACACATATTAATAACATTTACCCACACAATATAACCTAAGAAGGTTTATCACCACTTATTTGACAATGCTGTCCATGTTATGTAACATACCAAATAGTTTAATTGGTTTAATATCTTCCCCTTTATAGAAAGAGAGAACAAATTCTTTGAGAAGTCCCTGGGCTCATTGGAAATTCCTAAAGCTTCCCTTTTTAAGTCAAAATAAAGACTAATTTTGGGGAGAAGTTCATCAAAAATAAAAAAAAGTTTTAAAACACTTGGTCAAATAGGAAACAATGCTTAGTTATTCATTTAACCAAAGTGACAACAGAAGTAGTCAAAGGCAAGCACAGAGTTAAAACAGTCAAAAAAAAAGAAAAAACCCTTAATAGAGAGATTTCAGTCCTTTTGAACATAGGACCTTATTTTAACAAAACATAGATTGTCTTTTAGGTAAACTTACTCAAAAATAAGGGAAAACTTTTTATAATTTCTTTATCCAGAACAGACCAAAAGTTCAAGAGAATTATCCTTTTTAAGAGAGAGCGAGCCAAAGTCTAATTTTGCACCAGTTTATGTTTGATATTGAAACTCATTCATTTAATTGAAATTTTAATCTTAGCCAACTTGACCATACACAAAAATCCTCAGGGTTTTACTTCCACAAAACTTCTGTCATATGCTTTTATATTCAGAATTTGTCCCATGCCTTCTTTTCTTTATCCTTTCCTAGTACTTTAGGACAAATTTATCATCTTTTAACAAAACAAACAAAAGTACCTCTATTCTCTATACCTTCTTTACTGAAAAGATACATTTTACTTTCCATGGATACAGACTTTCTAGAAATATATGTGTTTTCTCACAGAAAAGTCCCTAGCATGGCACAAAATATGTTTATTAAAAACTTAAGCATCTTTCAGTTTCTCTGAGATGAGAAACCAAAGGCAGACAATCTATGCCCAGTAATCAATTTCTAATATTTTATCTTATGTGGAAATGACCTAGATACTCAATAAATTTCATCAGATAATTTAACTTAGCCAAACTCCAAAGTTTTAACCTACCAAAAAGATTTTGGAAGCTGTTTTTCAAGTATACAGGCCAGAAAACATAATTGTTGCAACCAAAAACTCTTACCCATTTCCTCTATCTACATCATTTGTTCCCAAGAATTAAGCTTCATTACTCACAAAAACTTTAGGTGACATTAAATCAGTTAGCCAGCATCTTAACTTGTTTTAAGTACATACACCATAACACATCTATTTAATTTACTCATTCCAAATAATTATATTTAGATTGCCTACAAAGCCCTGATGAGACATCAGACAAAATAAGCTATTATTCTAAGTTATTTTCACTGACAAATTTTGTAAGAGATAACATGTTTGTATCACAACCAATGTTGATAACTCTGAAAAATGTTTAACAAAACCAACAAACTTAAACAAGCTTTTATTTATCAAAGATTATTTTATATCATGTTAACTTGAAAGATATCTGGGTTAGTTTCTATTACATTTTGAATAATTTATATAAGCATCAACTTCAAGCCCATTAAATAGAGATCCTTAGAAATTATATCATCTGGAGACAGACAAATATATACGGAGACAGATAGACATAAACAGAGATCTTCAAAATTTTATCCAGGTCTCAAGTACAAAACTCAAAAGAACACGAATCCAAATTTCTCCTTGGCAGATGGACCTGCTCAGATGGCAAAAGTTTTTGTTGCTAAAGATTCTTTTGTTTTTGCTGTAAGGATCCTTTTGTCTTTTAGAAGTTTCTGCATATTAAGCAGGTGAGAGGTTTTGAATCCTCTTTTAAGGGTGTCCCCTTAAGGTCAGCTCATCTGAAACAGGTTCCCCAGAATGACCATTAGAATTTCATATTGTCTCAAAAGTTTACCCATTTTTACTTGCTTAATTTTAGATCAGGAATTTCAAAGGAGTTGAAGTACGGAAGCTCAGTGAGAGAGGAGCAGCAGATTTGGTTTCATTTTGCTAGCAAGGCCACTGACGTCCCCTAATCTGGCATGTTAATTACTTAATTATTTTCTCTTAAAGAGGCAGTAAAGTATTCCTGATTTCCTTTAGAATCTCAAAAGATTAAAATAGGCTTCTGATTGGTTAATTTTATAGCCAGCTTTTTCCAATTGCATATGCAAATATATCAGTTTGAGTAAACTGAAATGGTCCCATTTTGGCCATTTTAAAGTAAGCTCTCCTTTAATGTGTTTAGTTATTGTTGCCTGGAGGGTGGATTTATGTGCTGTTATAGTATCAGGCAGAGGAAATGTGAGACACAATGTTTATCTCCATAGCATAATCTATAATACAATCAGGCAAAAAAGATGCAATCCTTTCATATAGTCTATTTAAACATACTAATTTTTTTTCAAGGTTTTATCTTAATCTTAGCAACTCTTAAATACCTCTAATCAAAACTCCCATTAGGGTTCCATTAACAAGTTTCGATATTATACTACTGTGTAGGGGAAGTACTCCCAGCCAGACATAACAACCATTTCCAAAAAACATTCACGCAAAGTTTACACAACCTCTTTATATAATATTAGTTTAAACACTTTAATCTTTATAATCTTATTCACCTTAGCAGACTTATCATTGCCCAAGTAATTGTTCATTAGGTTTCTCGTGATTTCTACCTTCTGGCTTTTTAAAATGTTTTCAAACTAGGGTGAATAGAATGGGCCTGTTTGAGGTCCTTTAAGGTTGGAAGAGCAAAAGCAGTATGGGGTCCCTTTAGCCCACCCAACCTTAGGCAGTGTTTTATTAAAACCTTTGCTATAACTTAATTCATGTCCACTTGTTATAACTGAATTCACGTCTGTTTCATAAATTCCATTTTTCTTTTTGAGACCCATCTGAAGGTTTTCAATATGCTAGGGTGAGTCTTGTGATTCTTCCCTTTTTGATTCCTTTTTCAATATTTGTATGATTTATCTCATTGTCTAATTTACATTTTTTGGGGGAGGGGTAAGATTAGCTCTGAGCCAACATCTGTTGCCAATCTTCCTCATCTTTTTGCTTGAAGATAAACCCTGAGCTAACATCTGTGCCAATCTTTCTCTACTTTATATGTGGGTTGCCACCACAGCACGCCAGACAAGTGCTATAGGCAAGGGACAGAAGCAGACTGGTCTGAGGGAAGTGGCCTCATGTGCTAGAAGCTAGCCCTTCCATCCTCATCTATTCAAACATATTCATGTGTCGTCACTTTGCCTTTCCTTCCTCTTTCCTGCATTCACATACCACATTTCAGTTCTAGCTACTTATCTGAGAAGCAGACAGTCACACAAGACGTGGTCTCACAGCCTTTCATACGAGTCTCCACCTGTGTCTCGGCCTTATAACAGACTGCACAAAAATGAAGAAGTCATTTCATCTTTCTCTTTATTCTCAAAATATGACAGTATAAAAGTACAAGAGACATTGGGCTGGTCCTTGTGTGGGATCTAGTGCTTCAGAGGACTCAGAACTGAGGCCCCAGGAATGTGAGAGCATCATCTCAAAAAGCTAGAGTAGCTACTGTGCCAAGTTCAACGGCCTAAGCCACATCCTGGGTATATGCATGGATGTGTGGCAGGGCTTGGGGAAGAAGTATTCTGAGAAGACAGTGGAGCAAATGAGGATAGAGCACCAAAAGTGTCTGGTGAGAGGAGTGGGGAACGTGAAGGATGTGGCACTTCCTTTCTTGTCTGCTACTACCTAAGGGCAGAGGCATGTAACCCAGCAAGGGCCAAAGCAGGTAGGAGTTAGTTGGATCCCATAGGGCAGAGGCCAGACCACTCCAGGCCTGCTTAACTGGCACAGCCAGACTGTGGAATGCCCGCCATAAGGATGGAGACAAACTTTTCCAGTTTCTGTGCCGCTTGTCTCCCGGCCTCTAGGACTTCCTCGTGATTGGCCTTCTCCAGGCTTTCATAATCCGTAATGACCTTGTTAGTGATGAGGGAGAAGCCAAAGACTCGAAGTCCACAGTGCCTTGCAATTATAACTTCTGGAACTGTGCTCATGCCTGATGGGGAGAAAAGGGAGTATGAACTGTCAGGAGCCTCAAGTGATTCTTTTCCTCACTCTTTGGCCTAACCGCTACTCATTACCTCACTGACAATTTAACACGTCAAAAAACATGCAAAGAAGCAGCTAAATTAGAGTTGAGCTTAGGGTGTTCTGTACTGCTTAAAGGAGTGGGGCCTCAGAGGGCCTTACACTTTTCTTATAATATTACCATTGCAATACGTTATTTCTCTATCCTTCTGTGGCAATTCTTTTCTTTCTTTCTTTCTTTTTTCTTTTTTTTTGTGCTGAGGAAGATTCACCCTGAGCTAACATCTGTTGCCAATCTTCCTCTTTTATGCTTGAGGAAGATTGCCCTGAACTAACATCCATGCCAGTCATTCTCTATTTTGCATGCCTGGGAACGGAACCTGGGCAACTAAAGCAGAGTGAGCTGAATGTAACTACTATACCATGGGGCAGGCCCCTGTCTGTGGCAATTTTGAAGTCACTTTTAATAATACAGTTCTGTCTTCCAGGCAAGGTACAGAGGGTGACTATAATGATCTTTGTTAGAATAATCCTTAGAAACACTTATCAAATCATGGATAGGTCATAGCATTACACCTGTTAAAGCCCTTGATGCTGGGTGGGGAGGTTTGTTGTCCCAACACACCAAACCTCACTACCTTAGTACCTTTCTAGAAGTCAATTTCATTCAGTCTTCCTTTAAGTCAGATCCTCTCTCAATCCACCATCAGCTCTACAATCTCGTACTTCTTGCCATCCTTATTCTACCAGATCCCTCCCTCTTCAAGCCTAGAGCCACATGCCCCTGCTCACCAACAGCATCCGCCCCCAGCTTCTGCAGCAGACGACACTCGGCCACAGTCTCAAAGTTGGGGCCTGCCAGCATCACGTAAGTGCCTTCCTGTAGCTCTCTCTTCTCCCCCATTTGTTTCCAGGCAACGTGAGCCTTCTGCCTCATATCCCGGTCATAGGCATCAGACATGGCAGGGAAACGAACTCCAAACCTGGGGCACAGGTTGTATTATTTCAGATGAATAGAATACAATGAGCTTTCTCCTAACCCCCAGGCCAGTCCTTACAATCTATCCATCTATAACCAAAGGAGCAAGATCCACACCTTTCATCATTGGGACCTATGAGAGGGTTTTGACCAGAGAAACCAGGCAGGTTGATGTGATCGCGGATCAACATGATATCTCCAACCTCAAACTTGGGGTTGAGCCCTCCAGCTGCATTGGTGACCAGTAGAGTGTCCACACCCAGAAGACGGAAAACTCTCACGGGGAAGGTCACCTTAGAAGGAAAAGATAAATGATCACAAACTGTTGTTTAAAATTTCACCAACCAACCCACGTGGACATGCATGATATACATCATGAAAGAGAAAGAAGGGGAGCAAAAATCTACCTAGACCAGGTAGCTAGGTAATAGAATAGGAGAGATGGCTCTCTCCCTTCTTCCAGATTCATCTAGGCTGATGCCCCTGATTCACCTTCCAGAGCGGGTAGCCTTCATACATGTGGAACCTGCCCTGCATCATCACACAGGCTTTGCCATTCAGGAACCCAAACACCAGTCGACCAGCATGACCTGGCACTGTATACAAACAAGAAAGGGAAACGAATGGGATGATGTTTCACACAACACATATCCACGAGCACCTACTACGAGGCTACTCATTGTGCTCAACATGAGGGCATAATGAAGCAAAAGAAGATGTTATCATCTCTGCTTTCAGAAGTTTAAGTTGAGTGGGGGAGGCAGAAATTAATCATAATTTTACAATTAAGTATATAAGTCTATCTTGAGATTAAAGCTATGGAGGTATGATGTTCAGTATAAACATACTTCAAAGGAAGGAAAGGCTTTTTAAAGAAATTTCTAAGAAGGAGAAGGTCATACTGCAAGAGAATAGGAGGAAAAAGTAGAATAAATGGGTAATAATGAAACAGTGGATGCAGTAATTATAGAACTCTTTTCAAAAATTTTCAAAATTCTCAAAATGTATATTCTTATTTATTACCCTAACTATATGCCTCCTCGCTCATGAAAGGGAACTCAAGGCATATCCTAGCTTTCTAAAGAGGCTACTGAACAAAGGGAAATGGGCAGAGCTTGGATCCATACAAGTCTCCTCCATTAGACCCACATAACAGTCCTGTGGGAACACATGCCCAGGATGGGGCAGGCAGGGGACGGGAGTGCGAAGGCAACTCCCAACCAGACATCATAGCCATAACTACCGCCCCTTATCTGGCATTTCTCCTCTAATGGACATGGCCACCCTATCCCTTAGGGAATGGAGGTTCTGGGAGATACACCAAAAGCAAGAGGAAGAGTTCACAGACAAACAGAGATATAGCAGCTTATTAAAAAATTATCAGTAATAGAGCAGAAGTGACAGAGATTAGAAAGCTAAAGTGGAATACAAAAAAAATAGGTTCATAAAATTTAAAAGTTAGTCCACATACCACTAAGTGCAATGCCCTTCTTGCTGGGGGTAGGAGTGACAGGTAGTGCCAATGCCACTACTATCTTCCTTAGAAAATTCTGCCCTCCCTCTCTCTTTTTAATATTTCCTTCTCCAACCCTATTCCCACCTCCCCACTCTAGTCTCCTAGTTGCTCCAAAGGATTTGAAAAATATCTGTGAAACGTCACAGCTCTGCAGGGAAAAGAGGAAAGTAGAAAGCCAGGAAATTTATGAAGGAAGCAAGAGAAATTAGTGGTCTAAGAAATTAATCAGTAAAGCAAACACACTATCTTTGTCCCTATTTCACCTGGCCCTTTTCCAAGCCCTAGTCTTAGAGCTTTCTGGCTGCTGTTGGGATGCTGGATATGCTCTCCTCAGATCCCTTGGAGCGCCACTGTGCACAGGGGACATCTGCCCCTTTCCCCTGCAAAGGGTCAGTGTGAAGCAGGTCCTGTGTATTCACGTATTATCGGTGCATTTGTCTGCAGGAACATGGCAGTCTGCCCATTTGCTGCTGTGCACCAGTGTCTGCCTTATCCTAGGACTGGAGTTAGAACTAGGAGATCGGGAATGGCAGGAGGACATAGGACAGGGATGGCCTGATCTTGTCCTGGGAAGTTACAGCACTGTTTTTTCCATTAATGCTGCAGACTGAAAGAAATGAGAGAGGGGTGTGTGTGTGAGCCTGTGGTGACCATGGTATATGGGGGAGCACTTGGGGGAAGTGTTGAAGAGCTTTAAGGAGCTCTGAATCATTCAAGCATATGAAACAGGTCATCATATAGTACCATGACACACACACGCCCTGTCTATTCTGAAATTCCTACTGGGGACATTTCCTTCTAAAGTCATTCTGATTCCTGGGGGTCTTTTCTCCTCTGTCACAACAGTTGTCTCCAGTCAAATGCTATAGAGGATAACCAGCTCCAGGCATGGAAGCATCGCCCTCCCATCAGAATCCCATCAACATCCCTCAGTCCCATCCCTCCCTCCCCTGACCAGTACCTGTACTCCGGGGAAAGTTTGGTATCTCACTGTAGTCAAAGCCCTGGGCCTGAGTTAACTGATTAGTCAGACCTCCTAACCCAGAACCGCAGATCACCGCCACTTGAGGGCGGTGCTTGGTGTGGGACAGAAGCCACTGTGCGGTGGTCTGATAATCTTCATATGTGAACCTAGGAGAAAGGGAAAATCAAGGTGAGTTTCGCTCCCATCCCAAGCACATCACAGACTAATGACCCTCAGCGCACAAAGACTGGCAGGTGTACCCAGGTGACAGGGGACAGAGAATCTGGTCAAAGAGCTGCCCCAGAGGGGAGGCTCCTCTTTCTCAGGAGGGGCCACATTAAGCTCACCCACCCTCTCCTCTTTCTGAATCAGACTCACTACAGGTCTGACATGAAACACTCCCCTCATTCCTAGCACATTAATGATGCCTATGTCTCCACCAGCAGCCCCAACTCCAGTTCTGCCACCACTGCAAGGTTTAACCTCTCTCTTGTGACAAAGATTTAGAGGAAGGACCATCTAGCCTACAGACAAGTACAGCGAAATAATCAAATCAAGGAGGATAAAAGTGCTGGGCCTCAGGAGGCCGGCCCAGAAGTACACTCAAAAAGGAACTAAGACCTTCCTTAGGGCAGTGACAAACCCAATGCACCCCTCCTTAGTACCCACTCAGGATGCTCAAAATGTAATTAAGACTAACTACCCTGAGGGCAGGGGATGAATCCAATTTCCTTCTGGACTGACACCCTCCAGATCCTCCTTCAGAAAAATACTAAGGGCTAAATTTTTTGATTGACAAAGAGAGCAATAGGAACACTCCTAGTGGTGGTCTACATGTCAGTTCAATTGGACCCTTCTTTCCGGGATCCCCAGACCCACACAGAGCCCTGTCATATGGAATTGCCAGCGATAATTCAAGCCTGGACTAGACAAGCTACCCCACAAAAAAGAAGACCCCGTTCATACTCTGGTTGCCAGCGCTGGAGCAGAACCGACTGCATAAATTTCTCACAGTAGCTTGTTAAGAATAGATTCTGGAGCCCAGCCCTCCAGATATAAGTCTGGGGAAGGACCCCAGAATCTGTACTTTTTACAAAAGTGTCTCAGGTACTTCTGTTTCACAAACCAGGTTTAGAAATTTCTGGTCGGAAGGGAAGCAGAAATCAACTTAGACTTTAGTCCCAATTTTGCCTTTTTAGACAAGCAAAACTTGTGCTTTGAATACTTTCCTCAGAGATAAAACAAACAAATGTAATCAGCCCCACCTATCTTAGAGGCTCAGTTTGAAAATGAATTAAAAACTTGATAACAAGTTCCAATGATCCATGACTCCATAAATCATTGGTTCAGGTCCCCAGCATTTGCAGCTGCTCCCACTTTCCCCCATGTCTCTGTTCTCCTCTCTGCCTTCCCCCATCTTCTCTTCACCAAGGGTCTTTGCCTTTCAGAGACCTAAGGACATACACTCATCCAGAACCCATACATCCCAAGAGTCAATCTAGAATTTTTCTCACAATTCCAGTCCAATTCTCTCACATCCATGAACACAGCTAACCAAGCCTCCAGAGGAAATTCTTTCCTTCAAAAGCAGAGCCTTTGAAACCAAATCACTCCACAATGCACGAGGCTTCCCTCAGAGAAGTAGCTGAGTAAGGGACAGGGGCAGGAAAAACAGAGCGGGGACCACAGGAGGATGGAGAAGAGAAACAATGAAATAGTAAGAAGTGAATCAAAGAGCATCCCCAAGAGGTACAAAGGAAATGAAGGAAGTGTGAAGCCCTGGCCACCTAGCATTTCTAGCCACAGCCATAGGACTTCCTTATTGGCCATCAGTGCCCTGAGCATCCAAAAGCCATTGCGATCCCTAACGCTGGAGACTTGGACTGGGATTTCCGGGACCAAAGCAGAGAAAAAGGTTTTCAAAGGTAGGAGTGGGGGCCAGTGGGCAGGACCTGGAGCCCGGTTCACGGAATAAGGGTTTCATTATCTCCTTGGAGACACCGTCCCCAACTCTATTGGACCTCCAATTTGGAGGGAAGGGAGGTGTTGGCGAGGGACCTGAGCAATCTCTCCTCTGAAGGAGGAACTCTAGATATGGGCCCCAAAACTACCTCGTTGCTTTACCTGGACTCTAGAATGGGAATCTGTGAAGAGCACGTGCAGTGGGAAGACTTTTGCCCTGTACTCGGGGGAGGAGGTATGCCCCCCTCTAGACTTACACCCCCAATGTGCGCGCGCGCACACACACACAAAGACACTGGTTCCTTTTCCGAGTACACTACACTCTACAAACCTCTCCCCTTCCTGCTCCACTGGCGCCACCCTGGCTCCATTCCCGCGTGCGTCCCTGCCCGCGCCGGCCGCCCCACTGCTCTGAGACTTGACCCTGACCCCAGGCTCCTTGCCAGGGCTCTCTGCAGCTCTGGGGAGCCCGCTCCCTCTCCCGGCTCTCTCAGGGCCCACAGCCGGGTTTCCAGGTCTCAGTGACAGCCATTTCCCCTCCCCAGGGGCCGCCACGGCTCCCCGGGCCTGGCGCCCGCCTCACCCGGTCTCCATGGTGCTGCAGACGTTCTCTGAACAAGCCCGCCCTTCTCCGCCGCAATCTGCTCGGCTGAGCTGAGCTGCCGCCGCCGGTCAGGGCTGCACTCAGCGCGCTGTCTGCTCCGCGCTGACTTATATCCCCAGCCCGGAAGTCCCGAGCCAATGGCAGCCCAGCACGCGGGCCAGTCCTCTCTCCACGGTGACACACTCTGATTCAATCGCCCCAGGCTTGGCTGCAAACTTAATCCGAGTTCTTCCCGGAGCTGGATCTTGTCTGGCTCCCCACCCGACTCCTGGAGGAGTGCATTTCATCCCTGCACCCATTCCAGTCCTCAGGGCCGAGGTTTCCGGCAAGGAAGCCTATTCGGGAAGAGGGTTAGAAGGCGGCAGGAGACCCTTGAACCATCTGTCTACAACCCCACTCCCAGGTGTGTCTACAGCGAACCGTGAGACATTGGAAAGAAAATTTGAAACTTTAGATCATGCAACCTCAGAATAAAACTGAGTAGCCTGAATCTGAGCTGCTTCCTGAACAAGGAAACAGGGTCGACCGAGCAAACAACACTGCTGATGTGGAGGTTACAGGATTTGGGAGAACATATTGGGGGTCTAAATCCAGGCCTGAATGGGGAGAAGAGAAAAGTTCCACGGGCAAGAATTCCTGGATCCTGGACATCGACACCGACAGAGAAAGGTTGGGGACGGAGTAGGGATGACCTGGAAAGAGGCAGACAATCCCTTCAATTACGCAATACTGGATGGAAGCGATTCAGAAAACTGGAGGACTCCTCCCAAGATGGAAATTCCCGAAACAGAACTACACAATATAACGTCTTTGCAAGAATTCAATTATTTCCTCTCTCCACTTTTGCAAGTTTAACCAGCCTCACATGAAATCGCTACTCACTGGCCCGTGCTTAGCTGTTGGAATCCTCTACCTGTCTCCACTCTCCTGAAACCTCATCTTTGCTGCTTGCCATTTCACCCACCACCATGGCCCAGGTCACTCTTTCCCAGCCCTGTTTCTATCTCAGTCATGGAAGAAATATTTATTGAGCATCAACTTTGTGCCTGAGCTGTTCTAGAGCTAGGGACAGAGAAGTAACGACAATATATTTAAAGAGAAACATAATATATATAAAGAACTGAGCCCAGTCCAAATGCACAGTTTGTCATCACCATTGTTATTATTGGTTTGTTATCATTATTATTGTCCTTATTAATCCAGTAATTTTAGCAAAAGTAACAACAGGATGATCTGAAAGTAAATCTTAGAGATCTTAGTAATGAGACTATGAACACTTGAAACATTGAAAGCATGATTTGAAATGATGGATAAGATCAGTCATAAGTAAAAGTCAGCCCAAGGAAATTTCTATTCATATTTGATTGCTGAGAGGTTTTTTAAACACCCCAAATCCAATCCAGTTGACAAAAAAAGACAAGATTAGAACATGACTATCTTAAAATGTGCAAACTTGATTAATGAAATCTATCTAAAGTAAGTGTATGTAAACCAAAAGGAGATGATCTACAAAATGCTTACAATGGGAAAATTGGGGGGCAATGCTTAATCTTCTGTAGTGTTTCTCTGGTGTCATGTGGAGAGAATCTGCAGTATGTATATATGTATATGTGACAGGCAAGGGCAGTTTACCAGACTACACCTCCTGAGAACACATCTTGTTTTTTTTGGTAAATGTTCTTTTCTTTTATTTATTTATTTATTTAGTCATTCATTCATTCATTTAGGGAACAGTAGTTTATAACATTATATAAATTTCAGATGTGCATTATTATACTTCAGTTTCCGTGTAGAGTACAAAACCTTCTCTACCCAAAGGCTAATTACCATCCATCACCATACACAGGTGCCCATCCACTCCTTTTACCGTCCTCCCGCCCCCTTTCTCCTTTGATAACCATCAATGTAATCTCTGTCTCTATGTATTTTGTTGTTGTTGTTTTCATCTTCTATTTCAGCATGAGATTATACAGTTTTTGACTTTCTCCATCTAACTTGTTTCACTTACCATAATACCCTCAGGGTCCATCTATGTTGTCACAAATGGCAAGGTTTCATCCTTTTTAATGGCTGAGTAGTATTCCATTGTGTATACCTACCACATTTTCTTTATCCATTCATACCTTGATGGTCCCTTAGGTTGTTTCCAAATCTTGGCTATTGTGAATAATGCCTCAATGAACATAGGGATACATATATCTTTACACAATTGTGTTTTCCTGTTCTTTAGATACATATCTAGCAGTGGAATGTCTGGATCATATGATACTTCTACTCTTAATTTTTTGAGGAATCGCCATACTGTTTTCTATATTGGCTGTACCAGTTTGCATTCCCATCAACAGTGTATGAGAGTTCCAGTTTCCCAACAACCTCTCCAACACTTGTTATTTCTTGTCATTTTAATTATAACCATTCTGACAGGTGTGAGGTGATATCTCACTGTAGTTTTGATTTGCATTTCCCTAATAATTAGTGGTGTTGAACATCTTTTCATGTGCCTGTTGGCCATCTGTATATCTTCTTTCAAGAAATGTCTGTTCAGCTCTTTTGCCCATTTTTTAATTTGGTTGTTTGGTTTTTTGTTGTTGAGATGTATGAGTTCTTTACATATTTTGGATATTAACTCTTTATCAGATATATGGTTTGCAAATATCTTCTCCCAATGGTTATGTTCTCTTTTCGTTTTGTTGATGGTTTCCTTTGCTGTGCAGAAGATTTTTAGTTTGATGTAGTCCCATTTGTTTACTTTTTCTATTGATTCCCTTGCCAGGTCACACATGGTACTTGAAAATATACTCCTAAGACCAATGTCAAAAAGTATACTGTCTATCCTTTCTTCTAGGACTTTTATGGTTTCCGGTCTTACAGTCAAGTCTTTAATCCATTTTGAGTTAACTTTTGTGTATGGTATAAGACAATGGTCCACTTTCATTCTTTTGCATGTGCCTGTCCAATTTTCCCAACACCATTTATTGAAGAGACTTTCCTTTCTCCATTATATGTTTTTGGCTCCCTTGTCGAAAATTAGCTCTTCATAGATGTGTGGTTTATTTCTGGGCTCTCGATTTTGTTCCATTGATCTGTGTGTCTGTTGTTGTGCCAGTACCATGCTGTGTTGGTTACTATAGCTTTGTAGTATATTTTGAAATCAGGCAGTGTGATACCTCCAGCTCTGTTCTTTTTTCTCAGGATTCCTTCAGCTATTCAGGGTCTTTTGTCATTCCACATAAATTTTAGGATTCTTTGTTCTATTTCTGCTAAAAATGTCATTGGACTTTTCATAGGATTGCATTGAATCTGTAGATTGCTTTGGGAAGTATGGACATCTTAACTATGTTAATTCTTCCAATCCAAGACCCAGAATATCTTTCCATTTCTTTCTGTCTTCTTCAATTTCTTTCAACAACGTTTTATAGTTTTCAGTGTACAGGTCTTTCACCTCTTTGGTTAAGTTTATTCCTAGGTATTTTATTTCTTTTGTTGCAAATGTAAATGCCATTGTATTCTTAATTTCTCTTTCTGATACTTCACTGATTTTTGTATGTTGGCTTTGTATTCTGCAACTTTACTGTATTCATTTATTATTTTTAACAGGTTTTTGGTGCGTTCTTTAGGATTTTTGATACATAAAGTCATATCATTTGTAAATAGTGACAGTTTCACTTCTTCCTTTCCAATTTGGATCTGTTTTATTTCTTTTTCTTGCCTGATTGCTCTGGCTAGGACTTCCAAAACTATGTTAAATAAGAGTGGCAAGAATGGACATCCTTGGCTGGTTCCTGTTCTTAAAAGGATAGCTTTCAGTTTTACTCTGTTGAGTATGACATTAGCTATGGGTTTGTCATATATGGCTTTCATTATGTTGAGGTACTTTCCTTCTGCACCCATTTTATTCAGAGTTTTTGTCATAAATGGATACTGTTTCTTTTCAAATGCTTTCTCTATGTTTATTGATCATGTGATTTTTAGTCTTCATTTTGTTACTGTGGTGTATCACATTGATTGATTTGCAGATGTTGAACCATCCCTGCGTTCCTGAAATAAATACCACTTGATCATGCTGTATGACCTTGTAATGTATTATATTCAATTTGCTAGTATTTTCTTGAGGATTTTTGCATCAATGTTTATCAGTGATATTGGCCTGTAATTTTCTTTTTTTGTTGTTATCCTTGTCTGGTTTTGGTATCGGGGTAGTGTTGCCCTCCTAGAATGAGTTAGGAAGCCTCCCCTCCTCTACAATTTTTTGGAAGTTTGAGAAAGATACGTATTAAGTCTTCTTTGAATGTCTGGTGGAATTCACCAGGGAAATCATCTGGTCCTAGACTTTTATTTTGGGGGAGGTTTTTTATTTCTGCTTCTATCTCCTTACTGGTGATTGGTCTATATAAATTCTCTATTTCTTCTTGATTCAGCCTTGGAAGGTTGTACGATTCTAAGAATTTATCATTTCCTCTAGATTATCCAATTTGTGAGCATATTGTTATTCATGGTATTGTCTTATAATCTTTTGTATTTCTGAGATGTCTGTTTTAATTGTTCCTCTTTCTTTTCTGATTTTATTTATTTGAGCCTTCTCTCTCTCTCTCTTTTTTTTTTTTTTTTTTTTTTTGGTGAGTCTAGCTAAAGGTTTGTCAAGTTTATTTATCTTTTTAAATAACCAGACCTTAGTTTCATTGATTTTTTTTCTTTTTTTTAGTCTGTACTTGATTTATTTAAACTCTGATTTTTATTATTTCCTTCTTTCTACTGGTTTGTTCTTCTTCTAGTTTCTTTAGGTGCACTATTACATAGTTTATTTCAGATTTTTCTTTTGTGTTAAGGTAGAATTGTATTGCTGTAGACTTCACTCTTAGAACTGCTTTGCTGTATCCCATAAATTTTGACATTTCATATTTTCATTTTCATTTGTCTCCAGGTATTTTTTGATTTCTCCTTTGATTTCTTTTGACTCAATAGTTGTTCAGTAGCATTTGTTGAATCTCCACATATTTTTGGCTTTTCTGGTTTTATTCCTATAGCTGATTTCTGGTTTCATACCATTGTAGTCAGAAAAGATATTTGGTACTATTTCAGTCATCTTAAATTTATTGAGACTTGTTTTGTGGCCTAATGTGTGATATATCCTG